TGTGACGACACTTGCAATTTTGATTTTTTCGACATTGCAAAAAACGAATTTGTGCGTCTGCCTTTCCGCTTATTCCACTCTTCTGTCGGTTCTACGAATTTGATTGCAGTGTTCCTTCTTTTCCTTCCTCAGACTTGACGACTTGTTTTTGTGGTATACGATCTCTCTAATACCCGCCCATTCAATATAGATATCATCTTGTGAATCAGTCTAGGCACCGGATATTGTTTACCTTGCAGCCAAAGGCGTTTTACAACCCTTTTTTTTGTTTTTTGTTTACCCGGTGGAAACCCTCATGGGCCGTCACCCTGCTCCCGCTGGGACGGGAGGGGGTGGTGTGTGGGACTCGTCTCCCTGGCCCCTGGGCAATTGACAACCCAAGGGGCCAGTAGTGCAATGGAGACGCCTACCGCACTAAAACCACCGGGGGTGGTCTTCTCTGCGCTTTCTGGGGCCACCCAGGAACTGCAACGCATACTTCCGGGTGGTCCCGCGCCGCGCGTGATTTCGCGCCCATCCTGCGATACTTACGCTCCCGCTGGCCCTTACAAGGGCCTTTCTCCTCCTTCCAGATTTGCGGCGGGGGTGCCACCAGGCCTCCCACCACGCCCCCTGGTTATCTGTCGGGGGCGGGTGAGCCAAGGGTCTCCAGCCCTTGACTCACCCTAACTTGATCCCATGTCTTGGTTCCTCTTCCTCTCTCCCCCCCTTTTAGTCGCCTCTTACGACAGGCAGGGGCTACCCCGGGGCTATTCGATAGCGGCACCCGTACGCCCAAGAAATGGGATCATCCCTCTATACACCTTGTGGTGGTGTTTGCCAGCCTGTGTACGTTGGCTGGTCTCTCTCCTGTTGTTGCGAGAGGTGTGGCTAACCTTGACGGTCTGCCTCCTCCTTCCTCTCTATCTCCAGACCCGTAAATGAGCCGGCAGTCGGCGCGCTCCTCTCCTTCGTCCTGGCGCGGCTCCTGCTCCACCTCGTTGCGGACTTCCTGGAGGGTTCGCCTCTCCTCTCCTGATCCGCTCCGCCTCCTCCTTCTGTAGCAGAACGTGCTCACAGAAGGAAGAGAACGCATCCCAATTCTCCTCCTCATCTATAACCGCCTCCACGACGGCTCTGGGCTTTAGGTCCTGCCCGATTTTATCGGTGAGGACTCGGCGCTTGTCCGCCCACTCCTGGCACACCTCTAGGGTGTGTTGCGCCGAGTCCCCATTACCTCCACAGTGGTGGCACCGCGCGTCCGGCTCGCGCCCTATCCTATGCAGGTACTCACCAAAGCAACCATGCCCGGTGAGTACCTGCGTCGTCCGGAACGACGATCTCACCCATCGACGATCGAGCCAATCGTCAAGACGAGGGAGGATGGCATTCACAGTGCGTTTGCCGGATATATTCGGCTCTGTGAGCCACGCACGCCACTCCTCCCTCGTCGCCCTCTTCACTTGAAGTCCGAGGAGCCTCCGTGTACCCGCCGTGACCGGAACACCCTGCTCTCTGAGCTCCCTGGTGCGCCGGTATGCCTCAGCATACGCGGCCGCCACCAGCTCGAGTGGGGGCATCCCGGCCAGCAGCGTGGCCGCCGCGTGGGATACCGTTCGGTACCCCCTTATGGGGGGCCCTAATGGCCATCCGCCGTTGGGCCTTTCTCAGAACGGCCGTGGCCTTTCTACTTTTCCGTAGGGCCTCTGCCCACACGGGGGCACCGTACTTCGCCATGGACGTCATGACATTGGCGTATAAACGTCTCGTCCTCCCACGCGGCCCGCCCAGGTTGGGGATCAACCGTGATAACGCGTTTGCTGCCTTGTCCAGCCTGGGCGCCAGCCTCGCGAAGTGCTCCTCAAACCTCCATCTTCCATCTATGTGGAGGCCCAGATACTTTATCTGGGCCCCCACCTTGATATCAATTCCGTCTACCGTGATCTGGGTTTCGGGCGGCGGAACGGCGGATCCGTCATGAAAATAGACCGCCTCGGTCTTCTTGGCCGCCACCCGTAGCCCCAGCGCACTGATGGCCTGCACTACGCAGGCCACCGCCACATTGGCGACTTTTCTCGCCTCCTTCCAGTCTTCCCCGTGTCGTCCGCATAACACACTAGGGTGCTGCCGGTGGGGAGTGCAACGCGCAGCACGCTGTCGTAGGCAATGTCCCACAGGAGTGGTCCCAGGACCGACCCCTGCGGGACACCGCAGTTCGCTCTCCAAGCTCGGGGCTCTCCCTCTCTGTCTAGGCAGGTAATCTCTCTTCCGTCTAGGTAGTTTCCGATTATTCTACCTAGGTAATCCGGAACCTCTAGCTCCCTAAGGGCGGCTTTGATCTCCTCATGGGGGATGGAGTTAAAGGCGTTCGCGATGTCGAGCGCAACCGCCAGCACCACTCCTCCATCCCCCATTATCTGGTCCGAGAGGGCGCGGACGCACTTGATAGCGTCTATCGTAGAGCGCCCCTCCCGGAAACCAAATTGCCGCTCCGACAGTCCCGGCCCCACGTGCTCTACGTGGGCCATGAACCATGCTGCGATAACCCTCTCAAACAGTTTGCTTATTTCATTTATTAGGCAAATAGGCCTGTACCCGGCTGGTGTGTCCGCTGCCTTCCCTTCCTTGGGGAGAAGCACCAGGCTCGACTTCTTCCATAGCCCCGGGAAAATGCCCTCCTTCAGGCAGAGGGTAAACAAACCCTCCAACCTTCCAGAGAGCTCTCCCAGGGCTACTTTCCAGGCTACGCCGGGTATTCCGTCTGGCCCAGGTGCCTTGCCCGCCTTGAGCTTCTTCGCGGCACGAACTAGCTCCATCCCGTTGACGCTCCACTCCTCCATCCAGTGCTGGTGCTCCTCCCCCATGGCCACTTCTCTCGAGAGCGCTCTGTCCGGGTATCCCGCTGGAAAGAGGGCCTCCACCACCTCGTTCAGAAAGTCCGGCTTCAGTGCTTCAACCGCAGGGAGTGCCCCCGTGCTCAGCTTGTTCATTACAAGCTTATAGGGGCGCCCCACGGAACCGCATCGAGGGACTGAATCAGTTCGTCCCACGCCGTTTCCTTAGCCCTCCGGATAGCCGTCTTTAGCTCCTGTCGCTTTAAACGGTTCTCCTCCAGGAGACGGTCTAGTTCCCCTCCAGGTGTGTTCCGCCTCCGCCTCGCCCTTAGGACAGCCCTCCTGGCAGGCACTGAGGAGCGCCTCAACTCAGCGATCTCCTCCGACCACCAGTAGGCTGCCCTCCTCGGGGCGAACTTATAACGCGGCATGGCATTGTCACACGCCGCAGTCATTACCTTCTGCAGCCAGTCCGCCTCTTCATCGACTGACTGCAGTGGATCCGACTGCGACCAGGTTGCCGCGACCAGAGACTCTACTAGTCTGTCTTGGTCCAGCTTCTTCGCCGCCCACCTTATGGGGCGCTCCTGGGCTCCGCCTCTCCCCTCCTGCGAGAACCGGATCTCAATGGGGAGGTAGTCTCAAAGAAGTTCGAGACTCTCAGCCACCACCCATGAGGTTACCATTCTCGCCGCCGCAGGGGAAGTCCAGGTCAGATCGACTATCGATTCTCCCTGCGGCCGGACGCAGCGCGCAGGTGCTGGTTGCACCTACGTTCTCCAAGTGGAGGCCCAGACGAACCGCCCAGGCCATTACCTCCGCTCCCTTGACGTCCAGCCAGTGTTGCGATTGGGGCTAGGCTGTTTTGCGCACGCGCGGCGATACAA